TGTGTGTGTGTGTGTGTGTGTGTGTGTGTGTGTGTGTGTGTGTGTGTGTACGTATGTACACAAGGGTGAATGTGCACAGGCGTATGTGAGACTGTGTGTGTATGTGTGTGTGTATCTATATACACACATGGAAATTACAAATGCTCACTCTGACAGGAGACATGAAATTTTACAGTTCAAAAACCACTTACATGCCTTTTGAAAAAGTTTTATTCAGGGTTTTCACTGTGGAGAGAATTATAGAGTTGCTTATTCTGATAGTTTGTATTTAATCCTTGTATAAATAGGTGAAAAAAAGATTCAGGTTTTCTTTAGTAGTCAATAGCATAAAATGTGGGAAAACAAGTAATTGTCAAGTGAAACATTTTTTTATTGGTAAAAACATTCTAGCCATTCAGTTGAACCATCTTATAATGGAAATATGATACTAATAGTTTGTGAACACTTTTCTGTAACATACCTACAATGACTGTGAGTATGTCTAGGAACCAATCAAAGTTAAATAGTTACCTCTGTACCAAGAGTAACTCATAGATACAGTATTAATACACTACAGTGCATTCTATAAAATACAGAATGTGCTAGAGTGCATCCACCAAGATAGAAGAAAAAACCTTAAAGGATATGTATAGTAAAATTTAATATTTATCATTTAATTGTTGAGTTAGCAGGAAGTTGGGGTTATAAGTATATAATTTAAATTTTAAAAACTGACATAGTTAACCCTAACAGCTATAGAATCCTTTAATATAAGATGGAATACTAAAAACAAAAAGTAATTTAAATTTAATTATTAAAGTAATTTAATTTTGTTTTTCATTTGAAAAATAAGCTAATGTGTAAGGTTAGAAAAGAGAGTTGGAATGCAACTTAGAGCATGTTTATAATGTGCACAGAACAAGCTTGAGAATGGTCATTTTGGTTAAATGTGCTGGTTAGTTGATGTTATGACTACTTTAAGGATTGTGACACACTCCTATTGAAAAACCTCAGTGTAACTTTAATATATTTGCTGCTGTGACATTTCAAAACATTTTCAGTTTATCAAAATGAATTACAGATTTCATTTTGGTGGGTGATACATTATCATTTTGCTAATAACCAAACTTGCAGTTTGTTCAGGGTCTTGAATAGATTTACAGATATTTAACACTGACGCTGTTTTGAACTTTCAGTAATGTAAACTCTTTACTACTTGGATAGTTAGAAGCTGGGCAGTGCATTTTAACTTTTACTAGACTCATATGAAACCAGTAATTTTTATAAAACAGTTTTAAAAATATGGGTCAGAGTATTCATGTGGGTTTATGAAGTATGCAGTTTTGGTAGTAAAATGTAATAAAGCATGTACCTCCATGTAAAGAAAGGAGATTTGCTTTATAGATGAGAATTCTCCCCAATGCTCCTCTTCTCTATTAAAATTCAGGTTCTGGTCATTTTCCTAAGCCACCTTTTTTAAATCCAAAAGGAATTCTTACAGCTGAATTTAAAAATAAGTGCACCTTGTCAAATACTTGTGTTCCCGACACTTGTGTTTGTGTGTTTAATAATCACATGGGCATGTGATTGTCCAGATACTAAATTTTAAAACTGCTTACATGTATTTAAAGAAATGTATGACCGGGTAATCACTTGGTCTCTGAGATCTGTACTGAACGTTTTCAGCTGTTAACATTATCTGCATACTAGGGTATGAATCCTCTTGATCTTTTTCTTCCCCCAGGAAAATATACGTAATAGAATACAAGACAGCATTTGTCAGGGTCATCTTTCTTTTTAAAGAAGTAAGCCATATTTTGTGAGGACTGGAACATGGATTATTTATTATATTTCCCCCTCTTCCCATTGAAAAACAAAGTTAAAAAAGTAAATGCTTCAACAACAATTTTCTTGACCTCTTTATATAGAATTTTACTTGCAAAACTTTGAGAGCTCGAATGCATTACATAATATTTATATTGTATTGAGCTTTTTTATTCCTCACACTATATTTACATTGATAAATTGATTGAGAAGTTTATAGTAAAGGGAAACTTATAGAACACTTTTATATCATTTAAAAGATGACCTGACCAAAAACTTTACAGGATTCATAAATCAGGGATCATTTTGCTATTGACTTCACAGTGATCAGTAGTTTTATAGGTAATATTATAGTTAATTTGCAGCATTTTAGTACTTGTATTATTTATTTTTGGTCAAATAGTAAATTAAAATATTTTTTGATAGTTTATAGGTATTGACCAACCCATAACTTTTAAAAGAAACATAAATGTTTGTATTACTGAGTTGACTTTGATTATACAGACTAGGAAAGGCAGGGAAGTTTATGGGTCCCCTCTCCCCACTGGTTCTATTAAGATGTCCTTTATGTTAAACTTTTAAAATACTTTATAAATTTAGTTACCAGTTAATACTTAATTGACAGTTTCTAAAAAGTCCAGTTTCAGCTGACTTTTAATGAATATGAAAGCAACCCTTATGTGCTTTCTACTTATTTGAATGTTCCTCGAGTATTTTATATTTAAAATAAAAAAGAAGGAAAAGAAAAAAAAACAGTGCCTCTGTTTTTAGAAAACTACTGCTCAGTAAAGTTGTTTAACCCATTTCTGGCAGCTGATGACAATTTCATATTAAACTGTATACTGGCTTTAGTGAGACTGATTTTATATTAAACTGACTTTAGTGAGACTGATTTTTTTTTAGCTGTTTACAGTGCAGATACTTGTGTTTGCTTTTTAATTGCAGTATTTCCATTGTTGCAGTAATTTAGTAAAACTGTGGCTGCCTTGATTTCGACAGATTTTGTTAATATAAACTGATTGTTAGGCAATTAGTTATATTTATGCATAAATCAATTGCACTATAATTCATGAATTATTTATTACAATATTTTCTAATGAATTCATGTATCTGTCTTGTGTTGTACATGTACTGTAATTTTGTTCCTATTTTGTGTTGTTATATATCTAAATCTGATTGTATGAATTTTAATTGTTCAGTTAACGTGTTTCTAGGTTGTAATTTGTAGTAAAGCACTTCAATGCTTTTGCACTTAAATTTACAACACTGTCGGTGTGGTTAATTTACTCATTCAGTAAAAGAAAAGTAAAGTAAAACTTGACTATACTGAATTCTTTGATTCTCTGTAAGGAGTTTTTTGTTTTTCTTTTTTAAACAATATTAGAAATTGACGTTTTCAGAGATTTCTAACAGAAAGGGGCATAGTAACGAAAATAAGATGTTTGGGCTTATAAATAAACTGGAAGAATTAGAATTGATCTTAAAAAAATGAAAGTCAATTAGACTGAGGTGGCTTTTAATCTCAGCAGTTAGGAGGTAAAGGTAGATGGAGCTCTATGAGTTCTAGGTCAGCATAGTCTACATAGTGGGCTCTAAGCCAGCCAAAGCTACATTGTGAGATTGTTTCAAAATTACAATTTTAGGATCTTTATATATAATAATTTGAGAATAAATTGTGAATTGGATATTCACACATATGCCTGTTCACTCATTATGTTTTTCTTTGAGATTCTAAGATGGAAAAAAAAAAATGAGGGAAGAAAAAAAAAAAACTTGAAACTGAATAAATATATTTTTAAATTTCGTAACTTATAAACTTAGTTGTCCACAATGATATAAGATATAATCTAATATCTGATTGTTCATATTTTTAGGTGAGTATCAGTGACCACTGGTATTTTTCAATTTCCATTATTAAAACTAGCAACCTGAATAAGAAAACTCATTAAAATAAAGATTTCCTTGGAATGTCAGAAAAAGTATATAGAAGTCAGTGGTTTTCATAATTTCATTATATTAATCAAATTCAATTACAGAGTTTTATATTACTAAACAAATGCTGCTTTTGATCATTTTGACAGGACTTATTTTTATGTTAGGACTTGCACCCTGTGCTTTGGACATGCTAATAAACATACTCTCCCAACTACTTACTACTTCTGTACAAATGATTTCATTAACAGTAAAATGCCATTGAACATTTTAGGAACTACTAAGAGAGAATATTAATCTTTGAAATATAATATAACAATCTAAAAACTTGTATGCTCTCCCATTTATTACTAGTTATAAATATGCATAAAAGGCCATAACTACTTAAGAAACTGTCTGAAGTATATTCCTCAGGGCAGGTTGGCTTTTCTTTGGTTACCTGAAGTCATAAATTTGAGTTGCAGAAAAACAATATAATTATCTAGTACTTAGTAACTAACATTAGATGTTGCTTTTGTTTTACATTTTTTAGAAACTTTTTTGACATTGAATCTTGAGTTATTTCTATTGTTTTATACTCTACCATTACAAATTTAATTTTTAAAAATTTATAGAAGGGACTGATACTGGAGTTCTATCTTTTGTCTAGTGGCAGTACTGAACTTTTTTTTTTGGTTAATTTTTGCTTTGTGTGCTTCTTTATGTCAAACTGTGTTATTCTTACTAAAACATTTGTAAAATCTCATAGTTATTTTTTCCTCTGAAGTATTGATTGCATGCTCAGAACTTGCATTGACATTTTTATTACTCAGAGAACATAATCGTGTACAACTCAATAAATTACTATATAGTATCTGTAAAGGAAGTTATTCAGTGTCAGGGAACAATACTAACTTTACTGCTTACTGTAAAAGAAAACCCCCTTTAATTTTTAATACTATGAATATGCCCTTACTTTTAATAAGTACATTCTTTATATGGGTCAGTTGTTAGCAATGTATACCAATTACAACCCTAAATAGCATTTTTGTCATCTAGGAACAAATGACAGACATATGGGGTTAGGTTAGGAAGACTATTCCCAGTACAGAGTTTGGTGATGTTTCATTAAAATGGATACTTTTCTGAAACAGAATTCCTTTAATATATTTTATTCTTCTTGCTGCTGGTATTGAATAAAAAATATAGGCTTCTATATTATTGGTAAGCAATCCTGGATCTTAGTTAAAGTTAGATGTCTGTTAGTTTCTGTGGTAGGGCATTTTCCAGCATTTGAAATTTTATAATTAGGTAAGTAATACCTTTAGTTTTCCTGTGCTTTTCCATAGTTTTTAAAACCAGTTAAAAGTAGATTTAATTTTTAAAAAGCTTCCTTTTTCTTTTATATTATTAGTAGCTTAAAATGCCTGAAGTTTAACCTTAGAAAAAGATACTCTATTTATATTGAATCTAAATTTGATAACTTTCTTCATGATTGTGCAAAGCTCTTTTAATACTAAATTTCACTTTTACTACCTAGCACAGTATTTTAAATAAAAATAAGATTTCACTCCTTACCTTCCTTATTTGCACTAACATGGACTGATAATTATAAAACATGTCACTGTCCTACTTTACAAAAGTTTTTATTCCTTTGGAAGCAGTTATTCATATTAATATTTCCAGAATTCTTAATATTACGAATGTTTTGGTGTAAGAATATGTAATCCTCCAGTTTTGTATTTCAAATGGCTTTGCTTTGACTCCTGTACTTTGTCACAGGGATTTACTTAACAGTGCTTCATTCTGTTTCTGCTAAACAATAACCAAGATATCCTTGCAGTTCCGCCTATAGGAGTCAGGAGTCCAGCAATAACAAAATACGTCATTCAAACGCTATCAAGAATTATAACTCCTATGGTATTTTTGCTGTAATTCATTTTTTTGTTTGATTTTATTTTTAGTTCAACTGTTGATGCAAAATCAGAGGAAGCTACTAAAATGGAAAAAGGAAAATCAGCACTAAGCAAAGTTTTGGAATCTTTGTGCATACATCACCATCAACAAGTTTTGGCTATGTTGAAATTTCTAGTCCAAGAGCAGAATGCTGCTTCTCTTTGCTGTTGTAATTCATCATGTGCTATGTCTTCAGAATCTCAAAAGCCCCTGTTGGAGGATGATTTACATGGTTTGTTCTGTAACTGTGAATATAGACTGGCAGAAAGAGGGTGTTTACAAAATGAGAGACAAAGCCCTGGTTTAATGCCTCTGCCAGTCTGTATTAAAGAATTACATTGTTTGTCTTGTCAGACTGTAACTGTTGAGCACATTAAGACAGTAATGAATAGAGGAATTGAAAGCAGTTATAACCCACGCAGGTGCTGTTGTGAACAGTTAGCAAAGATTCACTCGACAAGAACAGCCTTTCACAGTCCTCTTTTGTCAAGGGAAGTTTGTGATCATTCAGTCACTATTAAAGATGCCTGTAGATCTCGAAGTCCCTCACCCCCACCATTATCACCTGTAGAGACTGGAGGATTTGAAAAGTGGAAAGATATCGTCTCAGAGCTTTCAGCCTTAGAAAATAACAAACTTGAGACAAGCATTAACCAGCCTCCATCTCTCACACCAGCAGAGATAAACATTCACAAATGTGGCCATGATGGCAAACTACATAAAACTAAGAAGTCTGATAACTCTGATTCTGTGCTCATGGATGCCAGCGGTAGTTATACTACAAGTCATGAAAAGAGTGAAACAGCAGTAATTTTTCAAGATCTAATGGATCGTATTAATGAAAAACTAAAATCAATAGAAACTACAGATATATCAAACCTCATAAAATTATCTAGCACTGATTGTGATTCAGATAATGATTTTAAATTGGGAAATTTAATAACATCTCTCTTGCACAGTGCAACGGCCAGCGATTATAGTTTTATGGAATTACTGATGCAACATGATAAAAAGGTAGAAAATAAAATTATTCAGACAAGATTTCGAAAACGTCAACAAACCTTATTTGCAATGCACAACTCTCCTGATTCACCTGTGATCAGAAGGCAGTCTTTACAGATAAAAAGAGAGCTTGCCAGTCTTGATGAAAACTTTCTGAGAAAAAGGTGCAGTGAAAAAAATTCAAGAAAATTATCATACAACAATAAGATGCTTTCAGTGAACAAAGAAGAATTCCAGCCTTGTCAAGAGCCTTTTAAAAATTCTAAAATCTTTCAAAATGAAAATCATGCAGAAGCACTGTTTTCACCAAATGATATAGCACCATCACTGCAGGCACCTCTTGGGAGTATAGAAACTAACTTGGCTTCAGATCAATTTTCAGGAAACTTTAAAGCAACTTCATCTGAGAAAATGAGCCAAAGAAAATCACAGGAGAGGTCTACAGCTGAGAAGCTAACTATACAGAGTAATAGGGAAAATATAAAACTAGAAAATACTCAGACACTTTTGAGAACTGATCCTCCTGGTCTTTTGAGCAGAACTAAACGAAATATTGTGCCTCCAGGATGGTATTCTATATATGTAACAAACAACACTGTTTCCAAAAAAATTTCTGAGGGCAAAAGAGTATCAGACTCTGCACACAGAAAAGATCCAGTCGGAGATCCAATTGAAAGTTTACAAAACATAGACTTAAACCAAATTGCAATGAATTCTAATTTGCAAGTTGTTGTGGAGCGTTTGGAAGACACAATAAATATGGTTCAAAGATCTTGGGTTAATCAAGCATTGTCTGAAGGCTGTAAAACATCCAAGAAGTTGATAGAAACAGATGATAAAGACCAAAATGCTGGGAGAGATTTAACTTGTACTCTAAGTAGAATGGCTTGTAAAAATCAGGGTTTATCAAAATCTGTATTAGCATGTAGCAATAAAAGAAGTTATGGTGTGTCTGTAATGGATTTGAACAAGAGACTTGATACTCTGAAGACATCACCCACTTTAGAGAGAGGTAGCCTGACATGCAGTGTTGAGAGTATGCCAACAAAATGTGAAGGTACTGAAAGTTCTGTTTCTAACTATTCTAGTCCTGTCAAACTCATGTTTTTATCGGAGATTAAAAGCAGTGAAGGAGTCAAATACACTTTAACTTCAGTCAGCACATCACAGTCAAATCCTGATTTTGCTTCTCACAAACATAAAACCCATCAGGTAACTGGAAGAAAACGAGAAGCAAATGAAGACATACCAAACACTAGCTTGGAAGATTATAGTTTTAATCATCATGATGCTAACCTGCTTCAACATGAATTAAAACAATTTAACTGTATACAAGAAGCTACACCATCATCTACAGAGCTTACTGATAGTTTAAACAGTGATAACTCACAAGAAGACCCTAAGGGAAAGTCAAGTAGTGCTATTGACTTACCATTTAAAAGAAAGCCAGGTAGACCTAAAAAAATTGGTCCACAAGTTGTGAAACAGATTAAACGGCCAATTGGAAGACCACCAAAACCTAAAGCTGATCAAACAGATGTCAGTGTTCGCCAAAATGAGTCCTTTAGCCCTGGAAAGAAAAGTCCAGAGTCTTTCATATCAGAAGTCAAAGAGGGTGTCTGCAGAAAGAGTATCATTGTTACTGTTGTTTATGGAAGGTCAAGAAGAACCAAAAGATGTGTTTCTGAAGGAAGCGTGATCACCAGCAACATCTCATTGAACAATGATGTTGCTGACTTTCCAGTTAACTCTAGTAGTCTTAGAAATACTAATGATCAGGAGATTGGCTATGGTGAAAGTCTGAGTGCTGTGTCAAGATTGACAACTGAAAGTGAGGTTTTTGATTCTGACTTTGAATGTGTTAGACCCATCAAGAGCAAGCCTATGATTCCTCAGGCTTCCAAGAACATTATTCGACCTAATCAAAAACCTTTGTCAATTGTTAGGAAGCCTGGTAGACCTGCAAAAGTGAAAATCTCTGGTATATCTGTAACTGTTAGTAGAATTTCACCTCAGGAAAGAGAAGTATGTGTTAGCAGCTGCTTACCTCCTTTAGAACAGGAGACTATGTTAGAAAAAACTTGCTTAGAAGAAAAGTTTGGTCAACAGTCCAGTAATGTGGATAATATCAAGCGCACCGATGCTGACATATTTAAGAATGAATCAAATAGTACTGTTGCTTCTATACCTCTAAAACATTCGATTAGGGCTAGAAAACCTTTGCATTTCTTACATTCATTTGCATCTTCTGGCTCACTTACTTACAAAAATGCTCTGTGTCATAAATCATGTAAACTCCATTTGCAGAAAGACCAAAGTCCAAAGAAAAAATACAGGCAGTCAAGTTTTAGACTAGCTTCCAAAGGATCTAGACATTCAAGGAAAGCAAAAAAATATTTGGAAGATAAGAAATTAATGCCCATTCCTGAAGTATCCTTGGATCCTGTAATTTCATCCAACCCTTTACTCAGGTGGTGGGCTACTTCTGCTTCAAATGATTCCTTGTTGAAGGAATTAAACAATAGATTTGAACAAATAACAAATGCGTGGGTACAGGTGAGTAGAGATGAAACTCAGAATTTTGTTCATAGAACAGAATACACTGAAGGTGATCATTTCAAAGCAACAAGACCTTTGGAAACCTGTCTTCTAGAACTTGAAGTTTCACCTGTAAAAATGCTTTTTAAGAAAAAGTATAATTTGAATGAACTTTGTACCTGGTTTATGCAAACAACAGAAACACAGTCCCTTTCACTAGTTAGAAAAGCAAATGCTCGAAACCCCTTGGAAGTGATAAACACCAGGGGCATTAAGTTAGGAGTGAAATGTGGGTTTAATGCTAGTCCCTTCAGGAAGCACTTTAAGAAATTTGCAGTCTCTTCTCCTTCAAAGTCAGCTGAGAAGTTTCATATACTACAGAAAATGGTTGGTTCACCACTCTTAAATGTGAAAAGTAATTTAACACTAGCGAGGTTGAAAAGGTCTGAGTTTAAGAGTTTGCACTGTGAAAGGTGGAGAAGAGAAAAAAGGCCACAGAACAGCCACAGAACAGTTGATTGGAGCTCAAAAAGAAGGAACTTAAGATTTTTCTGCCAGAATCAATTTTTGACTAACACAGAGAGGCAGACAAATGCAGAGACACTACTCAGTGGGAAAAGCACAGTAGGTAACCAGTGGGCCTCACTCCCAGAAACCAGAGTTGACATTTCTAAAGAGAGGGTGGCGGTACATGACTTCAAAACACATGCTAGAATAGAGAATAAATTTAAGTCAGAAGCAAGGGATAATGGGACAGGGTGTAGCCAGATTGAGTCTGAAAAGGAACAAAGACTACAAAATGTGTTTTCCCGAAATTGGAGGTCAAAAACTTTAAAAGACTGTAGAATATTTTTGAGGAAGATCAACTGTCTTGAACACAGAAATACTTTTAAGATAAATACGGTAATTTATCCTTCTGAATCTGTTGACAGTGGAGGTAATCAGGCACAACCAGAAGAATCAAAGCGCTTTAGTTTAAGGTCCCATTCCTCAAGACAAAATTCCTTTAAAAAGCAAAGTAAAGAAAGAGAAAATGCCAGAGCAAGTAATAGACTCACTGATGAACTTGACAATAGCCAGTTAAGTAAGCATGTTAACTTTGACAAAAATCCTGATAATTCTGAGGCTCTTATCAAATTAAACAAAAGAAAAAGACCACCATGGAAGACCACAGAAATGTCAGCAAAAAGACATAAACGACAGTCTTGCAACAATGGACAAATGGCAAACTATTGTACAAAAATCCCAAGTAGGTAAGTTTTTCTCTCCTTAATTTTAAAGTTTCATTGTAGGTGCCTTGAGTAAAACATAAGCTAATAGGTAGAAAAGGAACAGCTAATTTGGTTCTATTGTATTTCTAAAATATTTGAACAACTTCCTTTCTTGGCACCTAGTATGAAACTCATGAAATTAGGTGCTGCTAGATATGGTGCACTTGGCCACTCAGTTTCTGGCATTCAAACACAAGCAGTTTTAGAAGAGATATGAAGAACTTCGTGAAAATAGGCCATGAATGTATTTGATAGGTGACAGAGAAACTAACTAAAAATTCACTACTGCAGGCTAACACATGCTTATTCTCCTCGAAAATAAACATGAGAATATACAGAAAACAGCTAAGACTGTCTCATTTAAAGAATGTAACATAGTCCTAGGGTGTAAATCTTCATTAAACTGTTACTCCATTTGATATTGATTTTAAAATATGTTACAAGACTGCATATTTAGAAAGCATTACACTATTTTTTTCAATGATTAGCAAGTATATTAAGTAGGCTTCTATGACTCCGAGCTCACTTGTGTAGATATAAAGAGGAAAATTCCTTTATGTAGCTGAGCAAGTCACTATTAGGATCATGGCAAATTGACAATGCAATCAGAAATTATATGGTAGTGGCATACCTTACTAAGTTACATTTACCTAGCTTCAGTACCCCAGGGAAATTATTGCCTTTTTGAATGTAGCAGAATGATGATATGAACATGGTAGCTGCCAGCATAGCTTTTTCCTATCTGCTCATTTGGTAAGTGGACAGTTTAGGATATTAGAAGAATGGAAGACTTTACAGATTACTTCTTCACCATGAGGAAATGCCAAGTTATATTTAGAAAGAAGAATATTTTATAGTTTGTGTTCATTTTTACATTGTATAACTTAGGGGAGTCTTTGGGGACTTAGGAAAGTATAGTGTCTTACTAGAGACAATAACATGAGGTTCCATTAAAATATTAAGTATAGTAATTAAGCTGAAAAGTTTTAAATAGTCTAATGGTTTTATGTGTACTGCCCCCAGTTCAATTTTAATGTGCATAATACAGTACTATGTAACATATAATGATTAAATTTTCAACTATCTGATATGAAATGGCTAAATGCTTAAAGGAGTCAAAGTAAAATCTCCATTATGAAAGGTCAATGAAAACTATAAAGAAAAACTTTTTTTGATCCTCAAGAAGGCTAAAAATAACATTATAACAAATGCTCAGTCAGGAAAATACCTAATAGTGAATTTTTAAGCTTAAAATTCACCTAAAATATGTATACAAGTTTCACGAAGAATAAAATAGTTTCATTTTTATTTCTGTTCATCTTCATCTCATGCTGTCACAGACTTTCAAAAGTCATTTGCATTCATTCATTTTACAACAGAACCGTATTTTATCCTTGCAGCTTCTTACCCATTGTATTTTTCTAACAATCAAACACAGTCTTATTTTAATATTGTTTTTCATCCTGCCAAATATAAGATTATCCAAAACAGAAAGATGAAGAATATTTAATATTACTTTTGCAAATTATTTTTTAAATTCTTTGTGGGTATTTAAAAAATTAGCATCATATGAAGAGTTATTTTCACCTTTTCCATTTTAAAATTTGCTAGTGCTGTTTCCTATTCTACTTAAAGTTTTAGCCACCATTACTGATAACTTTCCTTCTTTATTTTTAACATTTTTTAAATCAACAAGTACATTATTTTATACAGTTGCATTTATAACAATATTTGTTATGTTTATGTGATTTTTAAATGTTTCTTACAGTGTTATTGTGTTTTTGTTTTTCTCTCATTATTCTTGGTAGTCCATACTTCTTTTTGCCTTTTTTGAAGTAACACTAAAATTCATCATTAGTTATGTATGTGTTCTTGTTTTTCATAGAATTTTTAGTGACTGAAGACTTAAGACTGTTAACTACAGGACTTTCCTAAAAAAAAAATTAGGACAGTGTATATTATGATTTTGGAATATTTCTGTTGGTGGAAAATAATTGTTTCTATCATGAAATGTCTTGCCTTTGTACAGATTAACTGTCCAGATGTGATTTATTACATAAGATTTCACTGCATTTACCATATTCTGTGTTAAATGTAGACAAGTGAAGAAAGACAAGTTCAATTCTGTGCTATTGTATTTTTCTTATTTAAGGAATGGCTACAGCATGTTCTTAGTGTGGAAGGTCTATGAGGTTCCATTTCCTTTAAGTGAGAAAAGATGTACACATTAATATAAATAAAGTTACTTTATGATGTAAGCAGGATATAACATTTTCAAAGAAAACAGTGATTATGCCATAGGTTTTGCTCTTAGGAAGCATAGAAAAGTAAATACTTATTGAATGTTGAATCATGTGACCAGGAAGAAGTTACCTCAACGAACATGAAGGAGGGAAATGGACTTTCAAATTTATCCAACATTGTTGCTTATATAGTGAGACTTGAAACAACCTCAAATACTAGAAGCTATCAAGTGGTAGGAGCGGCTTAAGTAAAGCAATTTATGTAATAAAGAAAGTTGGCTCATTTGGAAAATGGAGTAATTTGTCAGAGCTAAGATACAAAATAAGACTTTGCAATGGTCAGTCTGAAAGTATAAAATCACAATCACTGGAAGTGGCATTTTTCAAATGGTGAGGCAACTTAAGTTGATAGGAGGGGGAAAGTTCCAAGTCCTAACAAGAAAAGTAGGAAAGATAAATTTTACAGAAGTCTATGAAATGAAATCAGTGTCTTTTTAAAATTTTTCTCTCATATATGACATCCCAACTACAGTTTCCCTTCCTCTACTCCTACCAGTCTCTCCTCCCTAACTCCCCTCTCCCCCAGATCCGTTCCTCCTCCATTTCCCTTCAAAAAAGAGCAGACAGGCCTCCCAGGGATATCAAACAAATGTGGCATAACAAATTACAATAAGACTAGGCACAAAACCCTATATCAAGGCTGTACAAGGGAACCCAGTGGGAGGAAAAGGGTTCCAAGCACAGGCAACAGAGTCAAAGACAGCTCCCACTCTCACTCTTAGTCCTACAACCATAACATATATGCAGAGGACCTAGCTCAGACCCATACAGGGTCTATGATTGTCAATTCAGTCTCTGTGAAAATCAGTTTAATAAAATAAGGAAATGAAAGGAAACATCCAGAATTTTGTGGTGAGCATTTAAGAACATTTTGAGGGGTTTGGTTTTTACCTTTAGGGGTTTGGATGTAGTTAGCAGGATATCTAAAAAAATATGTTAAAGAAGCAGGTAGATAATGTGAATCCTGTTCAGATGAGGCTTGAACTGAGACAGGTGTGGCAAGTCAGAAATGATACTGAGGTAGGAGAGATTCCTCAGTGTAAGACTGCAGAGTCCTAGGATCCCAGAGTCACCTCCAGGACGCAGGAAATAGGTGTGCATGAATGAGACTGATGAAAAAAGAGGGGAGAGACTGAAGGATGTTTTAAGAAAGCAGTGTAAGTTGTGCTTAAGTCAGCCATGATGAGCCCTGAGATGGATCAGTGAATGCACCAAGAGGTTACCCTCCTGCTAAAGGAGACAACACCTGTGTGGAGCAATCGGTGCAAAAGCCAACATTGCAGCCAAGAAGCTCTAAGTAGACAGGAGGTAGAAAGGTATTTGCTAAGATTAAAAGTGAGGTTTTTGAAAGTGTCTAAATGTCAAAGCCAGTGAGAATCAAAGGGCTAAGTGTATTAAAATGAAAGAGAAACCCTGGGATTGCTTATTGAGTATAGGATCTGGGGGAAGAGGAGGTGGTTAGAAGTTGTTGTTGACCAGAAGTTCCTATTTCTCTTAAAGTGAGGAAACAATATGTGAAAATAAAAGTCAGCAGTTCATGGGCAGAATATTAAGATATTCAAAATCATTTTTTTAATGAATCAAGATGTAATCTGGGGCAAGAGAATCAGCAAAGTATCTACTATATAACCATGAGGATATGAATTTGGATCCCCAGAATCCATGTAAAATATGAGCACAGAAGTACACATCTGTACCTACAGCACTAAGAGACAGAGAACAGTGGATGACTAAAGCTCATTACACCCCTGTCAGACTAGCCATATTATGAGTTCCAGTTTTACTGAGAGACTATCTCAGAAAATAAGAAGGAAAACTATCAGAGGAAGGCACAAGTGTTAACCTCTCTCCTCACATGCATGTGCACAAGCATGCACACTCGCCCACATGCAAATGTGTACATACTACGCAAACATACAAAACATACATTCTGTGTACACACAAATGTGTACATACTACACAAGCATGTACAAAACATACACATATTCACAGATGAGGTATTCTGAGAGTAGTATAGTAGGATTAGGAAACGAGGTTTAAAAAGCTGGCTCTAGCTAGGATAGAATTGAATAGTGGTGTATCATGTCTGAAGCCTAAAGGGATCAGTCCAGTGTGAACAACATTCTGTGAACAATAGGAACTGTATAAACAAACTGAATTATGGATTATCTCTTCTAATAGATATGAGAGTTGGGAGAAGGAAATGAACATTTGATTAGATGTCATTTACATAAGTACATAGAGTGCTAGAGCTTAAACACATGGCCAAGTACATGATAAGGAGATGCTGTACCACTGAGTGACATCCCCAACCCAAAAATGGGCCAGGTGCTTAGGACTTTTAGGTAATAATGGTCTAAATGGACTGTGACTACCAAACATAGTAATACAGATGTTTATTAGTTGCCCCATGTTTCTCAAGTCCAGGGCAAACATGCCTGCTCCTAATTGGTAAATATTGGGGTGTACATACACTAACTTTGGACATATGTGAGGAACTTGATAAGACTAAACAACCTACTATGGATTTTAAAGTGTTATAAGCTTATTTAACTCATCCTAAAATGTTAGGTTTTCTATGAATATTCAAGAGTTTGGATGTTCACATTACTTTTATACATTTTATCAGCTCCTCCTATTTTGTCTACTGTCTTGAGAAAGTGACTGAAAATTTTGCGT